TGGGCAGCACATGCGCCGTGCGCCCCAGGGGCAGGCCCGTGCTCCCTACGGGGGCAGGGGCACACATACACTGTGCACCTGGGGGCGGTGCTGCGCGCCCAGGCCTGAGGCACCAAAATGACCCGGGCAGGCCCTGGGTACGGTTGCCCTTGTGCATGGGCCCATCTGCTTACCAACTGCCCAAGTGTGTTCAGGGGACAAGGCCTGACTCTCCTGCTTTACCACTGGCGGGTGGCCATTTCCGTAAGAAGTAATGGCGGTCGTGCCCCCCGCAAAGAAAAGCCACTAGGGCGTGAGAAAAGCTGGGGATTGAAAACCCGGCAAATAGGCTCCCAATAATGATAATTCCTGAAGAATTCTTCTCCTTCAACTTCCGGAAGGGGGGTTCCAAAGAGGCTGGAGAGAGGCTGTTCTCAGTGGGGACACAACGAGGAGCAACGGTCTCAAGTGGCAGTGGGGGAGGTCTAGATTGGATATTAGGAAAAACGATTTCCCCACGAGGGTGGGGAAGCAGTGGAATGGGTTCCCTAGGGAGGTGCTGGAATCTCCATCCTAAATCCCGGCTTGACACAGCCCTGGCTGGGATGATGGAGTTGGGGTTGGTCCTGCTTTGGGCAGGGGGCTGGACTTGATGACTCCTGAGGTCTCTTCCTGCCTAGGGTTCTATGATGGTATGTTCATGTTTTCATTTGTAAGTAATAAGCGGCAATGGGGAAAAGCCGAGGGTGTTTTAGAGAAAAAACCCAAATCAGATCAGATCAGACGGTGAGCCGTACAATAGCTTCTCCCTGTAACAACCGGCTCCGATTGTCCTCCTTCTTTGTGTTGTTTGTGAAAACCACGTGCTGTGGTTGATATTAAAATTAGGTTGTCCAAGCCGTCAAAGCTGAGACAATGCCTTCCTTCATGCCCCCACTTTATCCGCCGGGTTTCTGACGTGGCTGTGGCCTCTAGGCACGAACAGAAACAATAAAGAATCTTAACGATGAAGAGAGCTGCATTGGCACAGCGTGGATCAGAGACCACAAAGTCACATGCCGGTAGCAGCAGCTGTGAGCCGAGAGAGCTCGGAAAGGCGTCTCCACGGCGACCCTGATTCGGATTTAGCAATGAAGTCTCTGGTGGAGGAAAGTCGAATGGGTACCGATGTGCTTTTCTGGGGCAGGGTCAGAGCGCTCTGCCCCTTGGCAGGATGGAGCCTGGGCTGAAGTTAAGGAAGGGAAGACAGAGAATAGCGGATTCCCTGAGCGCCCAGTCTAGCAGTTAATAGAGCAGCTGCCATAGAGCTTCTTGTCTGAACCGTGCGGTTCCCCACCTTCCCCTTCTCAGTACAGAGAGTGCTTTGCATTGCTGTACCTCTGTGTTGCCTGGTTTGCAGATATTGGCCTCTCTCGCCACACCCTGAAGGGCGTCTGACAACCATGACTCTGCACTAAGTAAATTATTTAACCTCTTAGCACATTGCTTCCCATTGCAATCTCCAGCCTCCATCTGGAGAGTGACATAAACAAATTGGAGGGGTTGGGCTAAAAGAAATTTGATGAGGTTCAACAAGGACAAGTGCAGAAGAATCCCAAAGACTGCTACAGGCTGGGGACCGACTGCCTAAGTAGCAGCTTGGCAGAAGAGGACCTGGGGGTTACAGTGGATGAGAAGCTGGACATGAGTCAACAGGGCGCCCTTGTAGCCAAGAAGGCTAATGGCATATTAGGTGCATTAGGAGGAGAATTACCAGCAGATCTACAGAAGTGATTATTATCCTTTATTCAGCTCCGGTGAGGCCACATCTGGAGAATTGTGTCCAGTTCTGGGCCCCCCAGTATAGAAAGGATGTGGACGCATTGGAGAGCGTCCAGCGGAGGACAACCAAAATGATTAGGGGGCTGGAGCACATGACCTACGAGGAGAGGCTGAGGGATTTCGGCTTATTTAGTCTGCAGAAGAGAAGAGGAAGGGGGGATTTGATACCAGCCTTCAACTACCTGAAGGAGGGTTCCAAAGAGGATGGAGGGAGGCTGGTGACAGATGACAGAATCAGGAGAAATGGTCTCAATTTACAGCGGGGGAAGCCTATTTTGGATATTAGGAACAACAATTTCCCTAGGAGGGTGGGGAAGTGCTGGGATGGGTTCCCTAAGGAGGGAGTGGAATCTCCATCCCTAGAGATGTTTAAGTCCCAGCTTGACTCAGCCCTGGCTGGGATGATGGAGTTGGGGTTGGTCCTGCTTTGGGCAGGGGGCTGGACTCGATGATTCCTGAGGTCTCTTCCAGCCCTCGGATTCTGTAATTCTATGATCTGCTTCTACACTAAAACTCCAGTACAAACTTATTAGAAACTTACCACAAAGTCACCCTAAAACTGTTTCTTTCCTGGCCAGGCCTTCCAAAACCAGGGCAGTCTCCTTTTTCCTGGGGTCTCTGATTCACTCCCTTGGGTTTGACAATGCAGCCAGCCAAAAGACAAAAGAGTCTGACTTTCCTATTTTTTGTAAAGATTCCCTTTTTGCACGGGAAGTCACCAGGCCAGTGGGGGTGGACATGTGACTTCCCCAGACCAACCACTGCTAAGACTTAAAAGACAAAAGAGATGGTTTAACAGTTGGTCATCAGGACACTGAGGGTAACACCGGTGCTGGCTTTCATTCGCACATTTAAAAGCCAGAAAGCACTCCACACTCCATGCTTCTAATTTCACACACACCAAAATAAGATGACCAGATCCAGCGGGTTATGACATGAAGGCTGATAGGTTACATGAAGCAATTTGTCCCAAGCAATTTTGAGTGATGTATATTTGTGTCCATAGGACCATTTCATAAAGCATGGAGGTGGGGGGGGGGGGGGGGGGGGCATGTCCGTCTCACTGCCGACCTGTTTGGAGGGAAAAGGAGAGAGGACGGGTGTGAGCTTGTGTCCAAGGGAGAGGAGAAGGCAGGAATGTTCCCCCGGCATGCACAGGAAACCTTTGCTGGACTGTCCATCGGGGATGGGGATGCTACTGCAGAATGGAGGGCAAATAATTGACTGACAAGAGGGTTGTGAGCACCTTCCCTGTTACAGCTGATAAGGCCTTTTGCACTCCCTGTTGTCTGCATCTGTGCCAGGGTAGAATGGGGGCTGATACCATTTCATCCAATTGGATGAAAAATGCACTGTCTGAAGGCAAAGGTTTAACCACACCTGAAAACAGCTTAGTCCACCTGAAAGCAATGGTGGATGGGACTAGGGTTGCCAGCTGCCTGGCTGTCATGTGGTTTGGTTTTTAGATCCAAGGGAAACAGAACACTCCAGAGAGACCTAACCATTTTCCTATTTATTGGAAGCTTTAAACAGTTCACATCGTTATTTAAGTTTTACAAGTCTTACAAACAATTACTACACAAATTAAAATATGTTAGGTTTAAAATCTAAAGCAATGAATACAATGCAAAGCAATGCAAAAGCAGGTAACAGAAGATTATTATAATACAATAATTAGGCCGAGTGCACTTACACTTCACCCTCACTCACCAAGCCAGGGCTCCTGCATTTGGGGTCAAGGAGCAATTCCCCACCCAGCTCCCGACCAGCCACATCCCATCCTTCCGGCAGCAGGAGAAAGGAAACCCCAGGGATCCGGATCGGGAGAGCGCGATGGAAAAACAGGCAGAACGTGCCCAGACCTACCAATTGTTGCCCCCATATATGTGGTCACACAGTAGTTTGCCTCACTTGGACACATGACTGGTCTCAGACAGCCCCAGTTGGAGGCGGAATCATCACAGCTGAAGCAGAACAGGGAGTGAGCTGCAAAAGGAAAACACACCCGTTAGACTGAGGCTAGCAGGAGCAGTTTATCTGTGGCTGGTCTACAGCCCCCGGGGCTGTGGCTGGCTGCTAATGTGCATCGCTGCGGACCCTCCCCATGTGTTCTCAGCCACTGTTTCAGGCCAAACTCACTGACGCCAGAAAGATTTTTTCCTGCTCACCGCTTGAGCAAGGACTGCAGCCAAAAGACCGTGGTGGGGAGGGAGGATTTTTCTGTTGTGTGCCCAGCTGCTATTTATGCTTCTGCCAAGCTCACCCTCTGCAATACCAACCTGGACAGACTCTCTCAGCCTGCGCCTTTTCTAACCCCTAACCCTACACACAGGATCACAGGGTTCTAAGGAAAAGCCAGCAGCGACTGCCCAACCAGCCGGATTTCCTTCTCTGACAGGGGTCTTAGCCAGGAGAGAGGGGGAAAGCGGTAGACAGGGAGCATTTTGATTTTGACACAGCCCTACGTGATTAAGGGTACGATTCTGTCAGGGAGGTTACAGATTCTGGGACCTCCGAGACGTCTTCTGGGGCAGGAACGGAGGAGCCGTCAGTTTAAGGGCTGCCAGACCAGTGGCCGGACACAGAACAGCTGCTAGCGACGAGCCCTGGGACCCCGGAGCAGCAGCTGGGGTAGGACTAGCCCCACTGGGCTAGAGCGACTACAAGCTCCAGCAGCGCTCTATTTTTCTTCCTCCTTCTCCCCCAGGGGATTTTTAATACCAGTCAGGGACAAGTCACAAGACTCTGAATTTTGGTTTATTTCCTGCAACCTGTCTCTGACTTTTACTAAAAATACCCGTCAGAATCTTAATCTTATGATTTTCTAGGAGAAATGACAATAAGGTGGGGGCACAACTGTCAAACTGGGAGGGCGAATCTTGTCTCACGGAGGTCAGTATGGGCTCCGGTACTAGGAATGTCCAAGTGCAGTCGACTACACGATTAGCCAATAAGCCTGAGCTTATCGGTTCATCTTGTTGGCTACATGCATTCCCCCCCACTCTTGCTGCCTCTGTATCAGAGGCAACAAGGAGACGACAGGGAGTGGGAGTCAGTGCCCGTGAGGGGCTGACTTTATGCAGGTTTCCCACAAGCATGTAAAACAGAGAAGGAAATTGTCCTGTTGGCCTTGGCACCACTGAGATTATGGCTGGAGTACTGTGTCCAATTCTGGGCACCAAAACCTGTGGGCAAACTGAAGAGCAACAACAAAGATCAGAAGTTTCGAAAACCAGAAACTGTGAGCAAGCATTAACAAAACTGGCCACAGTTAGGCCTGAGACAGGCAGACTGAAGCGAGTGTGGCAGCAGTCTTGAAACATGTCAACCTCCGCCATCCCCATGACGGGGATCCATGGTGGAACGAGGTGTACCGGTAGTTCGGAATAGGAAGCCTAGTCCGAAGTACCTAGTTCGAGCCCCATGTAGCCACGCGGCACGGGGTTCGAACCAGCGGGGTTTTAAAAATGGTGGCTCCCCGCTTATGCAAATGAAGCCCGGGAAATTCAAATCCCAGGCTTCATTTGCAAGTGCGGTATATCTACATTACCCTCCTAGTTCGAACTAGGAGGGTAGTGTAGATATACCCTAATTACTTAACATTTTAACATCCCTAGAACTTACCCACCTTGCTGAAGGAGTTAAACTCATCTTTGAAGAATTTCACTAAAGGAGAAAGGCATTTGAAGGGTTTGTCCTCACAGATATCAGCCCAGGCCTCTGGTTTGAACGATGCATGGGAGGAAGTGTCAACATTCAGTTTTGCCAGCAAAATATCCAAGAACCAGAGATTTCAAAGTTACTCAGCACTTGCTCCCTGACATTTTGGAATGGTGGCACCAGCCATCCCAGGTGTCTCATGAACCGACCTGGGATGAACTGCAGGAGTGGGAATTGGTGGGCAGGCAGAGGGGAACACAGGCAGCTGGCAGGAGTCCCAGGCAGCAGGCCAGGTGGGAGTCAGACCAGCGTGTTGGCCATGTGGGGATCACCAGGCAGCACTTGGGGAGTCAGTGAGCGTGGGACTCCGGGGGACGGAGCAGCCCGTCGGGTAGGGAGTCAGGAGCCAGAGCGCCAGCTGTCCGGGGGACAGGTGAGGTGCTGGCAGCTCCGACAGATGGCTGCCCAGAGAGCTAGGGAGCCCAGCTCCCACACGTCCCTCCAAATGGGCTGCGGAGGAGGCCCGGCAGTGAGCTGGCAGGAAGTCTCAGATATTTAGGCCAAGTTGCCATGGTCCTGCAAGACATTTGATATTGTCCAACCACAGCCAGGGTGAGCCCCTCTCCCCCTGATTTTAACCCATTTTCTTTCCACACTGCTGCATACTTCTCTTGGCTTCCTCCAGCCTGGTTCACAATCCCCAAGGCTGTGTCTACATTGGCATGATTTTGCGCAAAAGCAGCTGCTTTTTTGCAAAAACATGCTGCCTGTCTACACTGGCGGGGAGTTCTTGCACAAGAACACTGAGGTTCTAATATGTGAAATCAGGGCTTCTTGCGCAAGAACTATGATGCTCCCGCTCAGGAATAAGCCCTCTTGCACAGCTGTTCTTGCACAAGAGGCCAGTGTAGACAGGCAACATGAATTTCTTGCGCAAGAAAGCCTGATGGCTAAAATGGCCATCGGAGCTTTCTTGCACAAGAGAGCCTCTACACTGACACGGATGCTTTTGCGCAAAGGCACATGCCAGTGTAGAGGCTCTCTTGCGCAAATACTTTAACGCAAAAACTCTTGCGTTAAAAGTATTTGCGCAAAATCTTGCCAATGTAGACGTAGCCCCAGAGTATGAGGTTTCCACACTCTTCTCACCATTTGTTACTATTCGGTGCTGTTTCTTACCAGGGGGGCTGGAATTAGCGTCTGTATTTCTGTTGCTAAGACTCGGGCATTAAAATTGATTCTTACGACCTTTGTGCCATTTCGTTTGCAATCCAAGCACTCAAAAGTTAAGTGGGATCAACCTCTTAAGCCAGCGGACTACAACTCCCATCAGTCCTTTCCCCATGGCACTTCCCTTTCTCCAGGCCAGGTAGGAGGAAAGACCTCAAGCAGGAAATGATGGGTTACTTTTGGGAGGAAGCAACTGCATGGCCAGGATGGCCAGCAAGGTACCTCAAGAAGAGAGGACAGTTGCATTTAGGGCATAGGGGGCCCAGGGCAGGAGGATGGGGGCAGTTCAAGAGTCAGGGTTAGGGGTGAAGGGGCCCAGGCCTGGGGGGGTGAAGGATTGAGTGGGAGGGGCAAAGGGGCATTTTCGGAGGGGAGACCTGCAACCACACCTAATGAGTTGCTGCTGTTCTTCCTCTGATTCTCAGGGAGCGAAGGGAAAGTTCACAGGTTGCTGCATCCTCCTCTGGCCTCCCCTCAGCAGCCAGGAGCCAGGGGCATCGTTCTGGGAGAGCGGGCAGCAGCCCTGGGTACCGGGATGTGGCTTCCTTGTCTTCCTGTTCCCGTGAGGACAAGTGAGCGAGGGGAAAGTACTGAGATTCCATGAATTACTCCTCAGCCCCCTCCCTTCACCAGCCAGGAGTGAGAGGCATGCACAGAATCCAAGTACCCCCCCCCCATCATCAGGGGCATGGGAAGAAAAGCAAGCCGGTTCCCCGTGTGTTCGCTGGCTCCGTGGGTGCTGCCTGGTGATTCCCCACATGGCCAACCTGCTGCTCTTCCTGGCGCCCACCTCCCCTGCTGCTGGGGACTCC